ATGATTAGGTTCAAATCCTGGCTCCACTACCTGTGGGATTTTGGCAAGTTATATTTTTTTTCCACTTCAATTTTCTTAACTGCAAAAATGGGAATTTTAATCATATCTACTTCAACGGTTGTTACCTGATTTAATGTATTAATACATGGAATCTTAGGTGGCTGTCTGGCCCATAGGGAATAATTAGTATGAACTAATAATATTATCATAATTATTACACTCCCAGGAAGCTGGCAGCACGAGTGTTCCGAGGACGGCCGGGGATGGGGGTATCCTCGCGGCTCTCAACAGTGGAGCAGTCTTGGCTGCTTCCCGGGCCCCGCGCTGTTCTCTCCTCTCCCCGCTCTCTGCTGCCCTCTGGAGGTCTGCCGTGGAGGCAGGCAGAGAGCCGCTCTGGGGGACGCCACAGGTGATGTATTAATATTTCCCACAGAGAAGAATGATGCTTTGCTGGATGACATCCCTCTACATAAGCGCGCCACAGACCCCCAGGGAGGCAACCTGGGCCCTTGGCAAAGCTTCCACTGGAGCCACCATTTGACAAACGCAATTGGGAATCACTGAGCTGAGGAGGAAGTGTGGACGCCTGGGAACTCCCCAAATGGAGGCAGAGCTGGCTGCAGCCAGCCTGGTCCTGGCCTGCCACGCCCCCAGGCTGTGTTTGCTGGGCCAGGGGACAGTTGCTATGGTCCCCTTGGGCAACCTGAGCCACCCTGGAGAGCCGCTCCTCACTCTGGCCTCATCCTGGGTCAGAGGGCATGTCACCAGGTGAGCCCAATGATCAGCCTAATATGAGGGGCTGTGGAAAGGCCACCCCCCCAGGTGTCTGAGAGGTGATTCATGAAGGAGAGCCTGGGGACACTAACATTGTGCAAAAGATAAGATGGAAGGAAAGATTTTATCTTCAATAGTAACAAAACCCCTAAAACATCTAGAAATCAACTTACCTAGAAAGGCATGTCTTAGATGAAGCAATATGGTAAAACTTTGCAAAGAAACATATAATAGGCAAAGAAACATATAATAGGATGAGAAAACTGAATAGGGCAAATATGGTAAATATTCAGAAATGTATATGCATTTTAAGTACAATTCCAAGGGCATTTTGGATTAGAATGACCCAAAAAATCATGTCTAAAGTATTAGCTTAGAATTTATTGAGCTTTTACTATGTGCTCTCTCTGGGCTGAGAGTTTTACATACTTTACCTCAGTTAATCCTCAGAGTAACCCTATCAGGTCATCAGCATTTATAAAGGAGAGGGTTGGGCAGTGGTTAAGAGCAGATTGAGGCCAGGCGTGGTGGCTCACGCCTGTAATCCTAGCACTCTGGGAGGCCGAGGCGGGTGGATTGCTCGAGGTCAGGAGTTCGAAACCACCCTGAGCGAGACCCCTCTCTACTAAAAATAGAAAGAAATTAATTGACCAACTAAAAATATATATACAAAAAATTAGCCGGGCATGGTGGCGCATGCCTGTAGTCCCAGCTACTTGGGAGGCTGAGGCAGGAGGATCACTTGAGCCCAGGAGATTGAGGTTGCTGTGAGCTAGGCTGACGCCACGGCACTCACTCTAGCCTGGGCAACAAAGTGAGACTCTTGTCTCAAAAAACAAAACAAAAAAAAGAGCAGATTGCATGACTTTGGGCAAGCTCTGTACAGTAGTGAGATGTGGCTTCCTCATCTGTAAAGTGGAAATAATGGTAACTGCCTCATAGGTCTATGGGCAGGACTAAATGTGCTAATATACATAAAACGTTTAGAACAGTGCTTGCCAAGTGTAAGTACTTAATTGACATGAACTGTCATTATCCTCATTTGCAGATGAGAAAACTAAAGTTTAGAGAGGATAATGTAACTTGCCCAAGTTCACACAGCTGCTAAATGGCTGAACTGGCCTGGGCTGTGCAGGTAGAGAGGCTTGCCTACAAGAACTAAAAAATTGTAAGATCATGATAATTAGAGCAGGAAGCACATCTTTTGTTTTTGTTTTTGTTTTTGATACAGGGTCCCTGTCACCCAGGCTAGAGTGCAGTGGTGTCTGAAAGGGAGGCCTCGCAAAAATAACAGGAAAATATCTAATCCCACAATTTCTCCAATAGCAGCTAAAGATCAATCCTATGTGCGCTCTCTGCTCTTTCTCTCCCTAGCTGACAGGCACCCTGCAGCTCTCTCCCTCCCTCACCCCCTACCTCACAGGCACCCAGCAGAGTTCTATTTCCACAACATCTGAAAAGAGCAGAACAGACAAAAGGGAAATATAAATCTTTCTCTTTACATTCACCAGTCACTGCCTTCTAGAATTTCTGTTATAGCCTCAAGGAGTTCCTGAGAAGTTCCTGGCTGGACAGCTGGGTGCAAACTCCAGGCCTCAGTTTCCTGCCCGACACCATATCTCAGGGGTGAGATCATACCCCCAGCCATAGCCTGACCATAATTCAGAGATAACCAAGTCTCCAGGAGCAGGAAAAAACAGGAAAGACAGACAGTCTGATGTCTTGCAGCTGCCTCCTGCTAATTACTCCACAGCCTTATCAATTGACAACAATCACTATTTATTTTTCTTTTCTCTTTGTCCCAATAAAAACAGCAAGCCACTCGGCTTCAGCAGCACCTATCTTCTCTTTTCTGGGTGCAAGGCCATCTCTCTTTCTCTGTCTCTTTCCCTTTTTTTTTTTTTTTCTCTCTCTGTCTCTAAAAAGATAAAATAAATTTTATACTTTTCTATCCTAATCTCTGTGTGAGAGATTTTTCTTTATACTTTTCTATCCTAATCTCTGTGTGAGAGATTTTTCTTCACCCATACTGTGAGTACCTACTAGGTTTTCCACCCTAGCAGGGTCCTCATAGCTCACTGCAACCTCAAACTCCTGGGCTCAAGCGATCCTTCTGCCTCAGCTTCTGAGTAGCTAGGATTACAAGTGCATACCACCATACAGAATAATTTTTCTATTTTTTGTAGAACCCGGGTCTCCATCTTGCCCAGGCTGGTCTCCAACTTGTGGCCTCAAGCAATCCTCCCGCCTCAGCCTTCCAAAGTGCTAGGATCACAGGCGTGAGTCACCGTGCCCGGCCAGGAAGCGCATCTTGTATAAGACTATACATGCCTTGCAAAATAAAGTTCAGAAATACTAGCCAAATGCCTCCTCCAGCCTGATACTTCCTTTATCTCCTCCCCTTTCCCTATTCCAGTAGCTGCCATTTCACGCTCATAGGCCCAGGAAGGGTGCATGAAAACAGGAGGGAAGAAGAGGTAAGGGAACCTCTTTCCCTAGGGGAGTAGAAAAGACCAAAGTAGAAAAGGCCAAAGTATGGGAGAAAATAGCCACTGAGAAAGATCAAGGCTATCCCCTACCCCTCATCCAACAGGAGTTCCCCAGGGCAAGGGTGAGAGCTGGAGGGAAGTTGAGAGACATTGACCTTGGTGTGTCCTGGAGACCTGCTCCCTGGGCTGAGCCCCAGAGGGAAGGCAACATCCCTCACGGGTGTGTGGGTCTGAGAACAGAGAGGACCTGGGTCTTGCTTCCCAGGGAGAGGGAGAAAGGCTGCTGGGTGTATTGGGGCAAGAAGGCCCTAGGCAAGCGTGCTGGGGCAGCATTCAGAGGTGGAAAGAGACTTTGACCTCCATGATAACCTGTAGGCACCAATGACCAAAGACCAGGCGGGACAAGGACAGATGGCATCAGAGTAGGGGACTTTGTAGGTCCCTGAGAGTCTAGAAGCCTGAACTGCACCTCACCCCAACCCCAATGGAAATGGAAACTGTGGAGGGATTGTCAGCACCTTTTTTAAAACGGGGCCTCAAAATATAGATGAAAGAGAGTTTTAGAAATAAACTGATGTTTCTTCCACAGTTGAGTTTAGGGGCTAAAACTGGTGTTCTAAAGGGATTTTTAAGTAGATTTTTAAGATAATGTGTTGTGGAAATACACTATTTTAAAAATCAATTTAGAAGAGAATCTTGGGCAGGAGACAAAGACAGCAGCTTATTTGTTGGGCTCAGTGCGTGTTATTTATTTCTGTCGTGAAATTGAATGCGATTGTTCCTTTCAAGACTGGGGTTGAACTTGCATCCCTATATGCCTGGGTCAGTAACCATCTGCCCCTGTTGTCTTGGCTTCATAATTAATAGTGTGCCTCTGTCATTCTCAAAAGGGTTCCAGTCGGGGCAATAGATTACATGGCTATTCTGCTTAAGATTCTAAAATGAGAGTGATCCCATGGGTGAGCCGACTCCAAAACCAACTCTGTTTCTTACCATGAAACAGAAAGTCAGGCTTTTCTGGCAGGCTGGAGGCCAGCGGACCGGACGTGGAGCCTTCCGGGCACAGGGGCAGAGAACCTCCCTTGGGGGGAAAGGATGGTGCGGTATGGGGCAGGTGGTGCCTCAAGGAAGGGGTCCTGGAGAGGGTGGAGGTTCAGTGCTGGTGGAGTTGAGAGGACAGTGGTGGGGTCAGAGTGGGAAGTTTGAACTTAGTATCTCAGAGGTAGCGCATAGTCATGACCATAGGCACAGGTGGGAAAAATGGAGTCCTGAGTGTATTTGGGAATGGGAATTGGGTGGCCAGGAAGAGACACGGAAGAGGGGTTTGTCCCTACCCTTTTAGTCCTTTTGAATTTTGAATCTTGTGACTGTATTATCTATTCAACAAAAGTTTATAAATAAAAGTAAATTTTAAAGGAATCCAAGCTACCTTGTCTATAGGTTCTTCTAGATCAACAGTGGAATCATTCATTTTATGAAGTTTTTAAAACCCCATTAGTAAAACAAATGGCCTTTAACCATTTGAAAAGAGGGTCAACCTCACTCATTTAAAGAAAAAGAAAGTGAATTTGAGACAATGAAATACCATCTTTCACCTTTCAGATTAGTAAATTCCACAACGGGTGAGAGTGGAGGGCAAAGGACATTCATACATGCACTTGCTCCCGAGAATGCAGATGGGCACAGCCTCAGTGGGACCACTTTGGCAATATTTATATAACTTTAAAATGCACATACCTTTTGTTAGCAGCAACTCTTCATCTAGAAAGTTATCTTACAGATACACTCCCACCTGTGGACAAAAACAGATATGTAGGCTGAGTGCAGTAACTCACACTTGTAATCCAAGCACTTTGGAAGACCAAGGCAGGAGGATCACTTGAGGCCAGGAGTTTGAGACCAGCCTAAGCAACATAGGCTTCATCTCTACAAAAAATACAATAATTAGCCAGACATGCACCTGGCATGCACCTGTAGTCCCAGCTACTCAGAAGGCTGAGCCAGGAGGATTGCTTGAGCCCAGGAGTTTGAGGTTGCAGTGAGCTATGATGATGCCAGTGTACTCTGGCCAGGGCAACCGAATGAGATCCTGTCTCAAAAAAAGAAGAGAGATGTGGTTTGGGGCAGTTATTCACTTCCCTACACTGTGTCAGGGGGTTATTGTGAGAATTAAATGACATGATACATGGAAAGGATTTTAACCGGGGCCTGGCACATGGTAGAAATGCCAGCTGTTATAATTATAGCATTGTTTGTGATGGCAAAACATGGAAACAACCTGAATATCCATCAATCGGATTGATTTAAAAAAAAAAAAAAAAAAAGTTTTGTCTCTTCTTTGGGAAAACCATGAAGCTTTTTTTTTTTAAGAGCCACGGTCTCGCTCTGTTGCCCAGAATAGAGTACAGTGGCACAATCACTGCAGTCACCAACCCCTGGCCTCAAGGGATCTTCCTGCCTCAGCCTCCTGAACAGCTGGGATGACAGGAGGCACACCATCATACCCAGCTAATTTTTTATTTTTTGTAGAGATGGGGTCTAGCTATGTCGCCCAGGCTCCATGAAGCTTTTAATAGAATTAGTATAATTTTAACTGGGTTATGGAATGGTCTTTAAGAAATATCGTTAAGTTGGCCGGGCGAGGTGGCTCACACCTGTAATCCTAGCACTCTGGGAGGCCAAGGAGGGCGGATTGCTTGAGGTCAGGAGTTCGAAACCAGCCTGAGCAAGAGCGAGACCCCCGTCTCTACTAAAAATAGAAAGAAATTAATTGGCCAAATAAAAATATATAGAAAAAATTAGCTGGGCATGGTGGCGCATGCCTGTAGTCCCAGCTACTAGGGAGGCTGAGGCAGGAGGATCGCTTGAGCCCAGGAGTTTGAGGTTGCTGTGAGCTAGGCTGACGCCACGGCACTCACTCTAGCCTGGGCAACAAAGCGAGACTCTGTCTCAAAAAAAAAAAAAGAAAAAGAAAAAGAAATATCGTTAAGTGGGGAACAAGCAAAATGTAGAAGAGTGTTTGTAGCTGCCACCACTCTTGTGTGGGTTGTGCTCCTGGGTACATGGTCTCTCCAGGGAAGAAGTCACAGAAACTCGTTACAGTGATGCTTCCTGGGAGGGGAACTGGGAGACAGGGGCTCAAGGAACTGAATGGCCTTTCGTACCTTTTATATTGTCCACCACACAGATGTCTTCCCTATTCAAGAATAATTAAATAAATTCCACTTCTGGGTATATGCTCAAGAGAATTGAAAGGCAGGACTCAAACAGATAGTTGTGTGCCAATATACATAGCAGTGTTCTTCACAATAGCTAAAAGGTGAAAACAACCTCAATGTTCATCAGCAGATGAATGGATAAACAAAAGATTATATATATATATTTATATATATATAATACACACACACACATACCACGATTCAGCCTTAAAAAGGAATGAAATTCCAACATATGCCACAACATGGATGAACCTGAGGCAATTATGCTAATAAGCCAGACACAAAAGGACAAATACTGTATGAGTCACATATGTGAGGCAGCTGGAATAGCCAGATTCATGAAGCCAGAAAGTAGACGAGTGGTTCCCAGGGTCTGGGGGAAGGAAATGGGGAGTTAGGGTTGGATGGGTGCAGATTCCAGTTGGGAATGACAAAGTTCTGGAGACGGATGGTTGTGATGGTTGCACAACAATGTGAACGTAATTAATACCACTGAATTGCACACTCAGAAATGGTTACAATGGCAAATTTTACATGTTATGTTTATGTTACCACAAAAGAAAAATAATTTTAAGAATAAAAATATTCCTTTATGACCTTGATGTGAGTCATGTTAAATGTGGAGATTAATTATAATACAAAGAGCTGCATTGTATGAGCCATGACAAAGAACAAGCCTATCCAGAAAAGGATAGGACTTGGCCTCCAGATTCGGGCACTCCTATGCCAGGCAGACCTGCACTGCTGGGCGGGCTGGTGTTTTGGGGGATTCATGAAGGCTGAACCAGGACCGGGAAGGAAGCAGCTTCATCCAGGACAGGGGAGAAAAAGAAAGGAAGGGATGACAGGCAGGGTGGAAGTGGCGGAATTCCTACCTGACCATGAGGAAGGAGGCGAGTAGGGGGCAGTGTGGGGTGGATTCTGACAGGGTGGAAAAGGTTGGCCTGTGAGGGGAGTGACAGAAGGGCCAACCAGGGACGTGTAAAAGAATCCCCACGTTACCGAGGCCCCTGGTGAGGCTGGTGATCACAAACATGTGGAAAGAGCTTTCCTACCCCCCTCACCTCTCTGCCTCCCAGGCAACAACTCTGAAGGGGCTGGAGACCCCTGTTCCTCACATGAGTGAGGAAGAGTAGAAACCAGGCACACCCTGTCCAGACCACCGTCCACCATGGGCTTCTCTTCCTCAACAGCACCAAACTGGGGATGTGAAGAGGCCTTGACTTTAAATCAGGATTGAAGCTGGATAATCACATGGGACATTATAATTATCAAAATGACACTGAGACCAAGGGTGGCCAGAAATAATCTTGCGACCTGCCTACATTTCTTTCAGAGGCAGAGCAAGATCTAGCCCCACAGAATAAACTTAAAAGAGCAAAAATCAAGTTGCTTTCTGATTTTATCCCATGAATCATGCTTGTTCAATGGAACAATTGCACAATATTATCTTTTACTGTTAATTAACATGCATATGTTTTACATCAGCTACTAGACTGTGGGCTCTCTAAGGGCAGGGCTCATCTGCATATTGCTGCCAAAGCCTAGCAAAATGCCTCGCATGTATACAGTAGGTGCTGACATAGCTGCTTGCTGAACTGCTGACCACTAGGCAGCACTGAGCCACTACTGTGCTTACATCATGCCCGGCACAGAGCAGAGGAGTAATCAGTACTGGCTGACTTCAATTGACTCATTCTAAAGAGAGAATCTGCGCCCTAGAAAGTCTGATACAAAATGATGTTGCAGGTTGTCAGGCTTAGGATAAGAGGGGGCAGCAGTGAAGGGGCTCTTCTCCTAGAGTAAGGTTGACACACAGAAGAGGGCTCAGCTAGACCCAGCTTATGTCCTATGATACCGGAAGTGAGCATGACAATGACATATTGGGTTTCAAACCAACCTGAGTCCATTTTCAAGTAAGGTCTCCTGTCCTCAAAACCATATACTATGAAATTGTCCAAATTACGTGCTTCTGAGATAATAAATTGGCAGATGAAGCACAGAGCCCAACTCTTAAGATAGGGAAGTAAATGGCAAGTAGCTCAAGAAACAAACTTTTCTGCAGAGGAAGGTTGAGAAAAGCAAACCCAAAGCCAGTTGAATCTGGTTTGGAGAATGGTAACATAGGAGAACACACTCTACCTTCTGTTTCTTGTGACAGCATCATTTGTGCTAAAGTATCTCCTTTGTTGTTCCTGTTGCATTGGAGGTGCAAGAGATGTAGCAGCGTCTCGTCTCCGTGACTAAGTGCTTAGTTACTGCCTCTCCAGGAAGGCACGCTTGACTGGAGGGGGTGTGGGCAGGCATTCAGTCCACCGACAAGCCACTCACTGAGCGCCTTCAGTGGACAAGGAACTCTCCTTAGACTAGTCCACCCAAAATAAAGGGGGAAGAGCACAGCTAGTTGGTCTTCAGGGTACCCCTTGGAATATCCCTCCGCTCATGAGCTCACTGAATTCCAAATCCCAGGACGCCTGCTTGGAGGGAGGGTAAAACACCATTTCTCAGGGGCAGAAGCCCACAAAGCTAAGGACACTGGGTTTCTCATCAGATTTTCATCAAGGGCTGAGTGACCCTTTTTCCGGAAAGCTCACTGATCCCAGGAGTCCTGACACATAAGAACTACGCAACTAGGCTGGTCCAAAAGTAGTGAGTTATCTCACGTGATTGTTCACAGTCAGTTACAGATTGAACTCCTTGTTCTACTACTTTCCCCCCTCCTCACTACTGCACTTGACTAGTCTAAAAAAAAAAAAAAAAAGAACTACGCAGCTCGTTGCTTCTGGGGAGAGGGATGTGGACTGGCATCCCCTCCCTCTCATTCCCTAAGTCCCCAAGGAGTAGATCCCTGGTAAAAGGACACCTTTTTTGGGCCAGAAAGCTGAGTTGAAGTGGGGATTTTTATACATGCCCCATGTTTTCTGGACTCCTAAGAGACTCAAAGAAGGTGCTGTAACAACCCTTACTGAATTGGAAGAAGCATGAAATAGACATAAGATCCCCTACTGTGACTTTCATGGCTCAAACACAGGGGATTCAGCAGGGATAGTTAGAATTCTGTGCGGAGAATAGAACTAGACACAGGGCTCAGCCCCTCAAGAAGTCTGACGCTGCACAGATGTGCACACACAAACACAACCCCCAATCCAAAGGAGAGGAAACTAGAATGGGGGGAAAGAGGAGCACAAAACAGCAACACCACTACAGGGCAACCTCGTCATTCTGTTACTTGTCCTTTACTATGTTGGAATAGTTATCGATTAATATAAACAGCCAGATGGCCCCTTATCTTTGCGCTCTAAATCTTGCACAGGCCTTTAGCAAAAAGCAATAAAATTCTCACCTGGCCCTCGATGGGTTGGGGATTCCTGCCTCTACCACTCTGTTCACTCACATCCCCAAACCACAGCCTACAACTACGCTGTACCTCCATATATTTAAAAGCCACTCTACTCACCCCCAGTGCAGTGGCCCGTGGCTCCTGGGCCCTGTGTCCAATCCCTTTAGGGTGGGCCTTCCAGTTGGAACCCACCCACCTCTCTTTTTTTCTACCTCTACTATTAGCATAGCCCCTCCTCTCTTGCCTCACCAACCATCTATTTTAGAACCAAAAAGTCTTTGTCTATTCATAGACACTATAAAAGTAACATTCGATTTATGTTTTTTAATCTAACATCTGTGTCTTCAATGGTTCTCATTGGTTTATCTAATCGGCACGTCCTGGGGAGGTTTATTATCGCCTGTTTAGCTTGTCCCAGCACAACACAGCCTGGGCATTTGCCAGGGGAGAATCAGTTCTTTTAAATTAGGCAGTCCCTGGAAAGATGGCAGACATTTTGCCTCTTTTCTCCATGGGCCAAGATTAAGGGGAACATTCCATATCCCACCACCACCACCACCACCACAGCTCTGCAGACCCCAAATCCTGACTCTTCAGAGAAGGATATGGACACGGGAAACAATGAAGGCATCAGAACAAACAAAACTCTGCAAGAAAAACATTGCATGTTCTGTGATGTTTCTAGCTTTTGCACTAATTTTTGGCCTCTTGTTTATTAATTCTTTTTCTGTAAGCGGGAAAGAGATGATGAGGAAGAAATAGTGGAAAATGGGAAGTTTGGAGGGAGGTGGGAGGAAGAAGAGAGAGTCAGTGAGTGGGAAGGGAGGAGGATGGCGTACCGGGAAGAGGAGCGTGCTGGGAAGTCCGGCACCTCCAGGCGCCAGGCCCTGGGCTTGGTGCAGACACACACCTGCCCTCACTGAACTCTCAACAGTCCTGTGAGGAGAGCAGTCTCATCCCCAACCTTCTTGCAGAGTTGGAACTGAGGCTCAGAGAACACAATATTTGCTCACAGATTCATAGACAGGAGAAAAAGTAAGGGTTGGAAACCCTATTTAAAGATTAACTCTGTCCCTCTTCTTCCCCAGGCCCTTCTGTGGCTTCTCTGAGGGTCTTCAGCCTCCCTGTTTCAGGGCTCACCTTCTCTTTCAGACAGGAAATTTATATTCTGGTTTAAAGCCCTCACTTTATTCCTGGTTCACATAGAGCTTTCCCTTAGTGGAAAAGCCACAGCTCCGGACCTGGGACCTGGAAAGAAGCATTTCGGAGGCCATGGCTGAGCCAACACATTAACCCTACATCCTATTTCTCTCAATAATCCATGCAATCAAAGACAAGCAAGACTAGGAAGACCAGTGCATCCCAGGTTGCCTGGGACTTTCTCAGTTTTAGCTCAGAAGGTCTGTGACTCAGGAAACCCCTTCATCCAGGCAGATCAGCACAGCCTACGCCAGAAACACAGCCTCGGACCTTAGGAACTTTCCAGCTGGTTGGGGATTACACAAACTCAGAAGAGTGTGAGGCTCCAAAAAGAAGCACAAAGGGAGGGAGAGGTTCACAGAAAGAAAAAACATGTAAGTTTGGAGGATCAACTCTTTCCACAAATGTTCACTCCTTGCCTTCTACGGGCCAGGCCATAGCCTAGGCCCTGTGTATTAAAGAAAAGCTTCACGGAGAAAACGGCCTTGGAGATGCACAGTGAATGAGTAGGAGAGGAATGGGACTTAGAATGGCAGAACTACCATGGGGTACTTGAGGGAAGGGGCTGTAAAAATAAAGACCTGAGATGTGGAAGAACACAACATAGGCCGGGCGCGGTGTCTCACGCCTGTAATCCTAGCACTCTGGGAGGCCGAGGCGGGAGGATCGCTCGAGGTCAGGAGTTCGAAACCAGCCTGAGCAAGAGCGAGACCCCGTCTCTACTAAAAATAGAAACAAATTAATTGGCCAACTAATATATATAGAAAAAATTAGCCGGGCATGATGGCGCGTGCCTGCAGTCCCAGATACTCGGGAGGCTGAGGCAACAGGATTGCTTAAACCCAGGAGTTTGAGGTTGCTGTGAGCTAGGCTGATGCCATGGCACTCACTCTAGCCTGGGCAACAAAGCAAGACTCTGTCTAAAAAAAAAAAAAATAGAACACAGCACAACCATGCTGAGAACCTGGGAGCAATTTCCCTGGGTGCAGGGCAGGTTTGAGGAGATAAAAGTTTAGGCCCATAAAGATAGGCTGGCTGGGCCAGTCTATGGAGAGGCACAAACATCAGCAAATGTGTCTGAAATCGAAGGACTGTGGAATGGGACTTTGTGCAAGAACAGAGTAACTGGCTTCAGAGTGCATTGTAGCACAGGTGGAAAGAACAGTTGGGAAGTTACAGCCAAGCATTCAAATGGAGAACTTCTGGTTTTTACCCACCCAGATTTTGTTCACACCATCTGTACCTTTATTTCAGATATTTTTGATTTTCTTTTTCCTTTCCTACTTCATATACAAATTTGAGGGCAGGCTTCCCCTGGGTTGGTGAGCGGATAGGAAGGTATGGGGCAGGGAGCTTTTCCTCCAGGATGCAAGAAGGGAGCAGGTTGGCAGGCTGAGCCCCTCCTGATGGAGGAAGTAGGGAGGGAACTGCCTGGCAGCACTGTGCCTTCTTGCTTGTATCCAGCGAACATTGGCTGGCACACTGCCTGTTTCCCTGTCCAGCCCTATTGCCACCTTAGTTGGCATTAGGAAGCTTTGAAATGCTACCTCGATCACATACGAATATTTCTGTGTGCTTGAGTCAGTTCTCAGGCAACCACCCTGATGGCAGGCCCTGTACTGTTTTCCTTTCCTACCACCCCTCAAACCACCCGGTTCTGATTGCTGCCCCCTACCAGTCACAAACATTTCTATGGCAGAGCTCATCAGCAGACTCCTAATTGCGAGAGTCAGTGGATATTTTTCAGGTCTTTTGTTGCTAGACCACTGTTACATCTGACATTGTTGAAAATTCTTTCCTTCCTTTGCTGGTTTTTTTTTTTGTTTTTTTTTTTTTGTTTTCGCCTGTTTTTGCTTTGCTTTGGTGTATTTTGAGACTTCTGGGCCATTGGGTATACATATCTTCATCTTTGCTAAATAATGCCACATGGTTTTCCAGGGTGGTTGTAGCAGTTTACACCCCTACCAGCAGTGTGTGAGTGTCTAACGGGATAATGTAAGGACAAGAGCTGGTAGATCTGGGATGCTCCAGTTCTTTGCCCCCAGGCATTTGCTCAGTGTCTCCTTTTGCCCTCTCTCCACAAATTTCCTCTCTCCTGTGAGCTTGAGTCCTGCCGCAGGCCTCAGCCAAGCCCACCAACACCACCACCCTTCCCCCAATGCCAACAGAATGATAGAAAGATTTAAAGACTCACTTTTATAAAACCCTGGTTTTACATTTTGTACCCTGTTCCAAAATCACCAGTGGCTTCCCAATGCAGTCAAATAAAGCCTGAACTCCTTGGATTGGTACTGAAGGCCTCCCCCTGCCTGGCTTCCTCATTCCTTCCCAACCTTATTTTCCCACTCCCCTCCCCAAAGGGGCAGATTTGAATCCTGCCACAGAGACCCATCCTGCTGGTAGGGACGTAAACCAGTACAGCCACTCTGCAAAAGCAATGTGGCAATTTTTAATATAGATGAAAATGTACATACCAAGTGACCAAGCAATTTCATTCCTTAAAAAAATTTTGCAAGTGTGTATCAGGGCACATGAACAAGGAAGAATGTTTATATAGCATGGTTTGTAGGTACTGAAGCTTGGAAGCAACCCAAATGTCCATCAAGCATGGACTGGATAAGTTTCAGTATCTTCACCCTTCTTCACTCTGCCCCCCACCCCCTGAACTTACATGGGAATGTTACTTTTTCAGATAACATATCTTCATTTAAAACAAGATAGGCCTGGATAGGCCAGGCAGGCTCAGTGGTTCACACCTATAATCCTAGCACTCAGGGAGGCGGGAGGATCACTCAAGTTCAGGAGTTTGAAACCAGCCTCTGAGCAAGAGCGAGACCCCATCTCTACTAAGAATAGAAAGAAATTAATTGGCCAACTAAAAATATATAGAAAAAATTAGCAGGCATGGTGGCGCGTGCCTGTAGTCCCAGCTACTTGGGAGGCTGAGGCAGGATTGCTTGAGCCCAGGAGTTTGCGGTTGCTGTGAGCTAGGCTGACGCCACGGCACTCTAGCCCGGGCAACAGAGTGAGACTCTGTGTCAAAAAAAAATAAAAATAAATAAATAAAATAAAACAAGAATCCAACGGTTTACTTTCCAAAATAGAGAGGATTTTATTCCACCAAAAAATGAATTTCTAATATTACTTTGTTAATATGTGTGAAAACTCTAACATGGTATGGTCATGTTTTATCATATGTTAGTCTAAGTGCTCCTTTTTGTTGTTTTCTTTTCTAATTCACTTCTTAAAATTTATATACGGTAAAATCTATTCATTTTTGGTTTTTAGTTCTATGTGTGTTAAATGCATACAGTCTCTCCTTTACTTTTTGTTGTTGTTGTTTTTTTCTTTTTTACAAAGGAGTATCGAGATGAGTTAAAAGTGATTTACCTTAGATTTTGTTCATTGAGTTCTTGAAAACAAAATGTGACTTCACAACTTGGTAGGCAAGTTGTGTTTACACGAGTTCGTGTAAACACAACTCTATGAGTTCACAAAAATTCAGTTCCACTTACTGGTCCTTGTTCAATGTAGGCCCTGATTACCTGCCAGGGTGGCAGTCTTGGGCTGCTCCATTCTGCTAAGATCAGAAGTGAATCTTATGGCAAAGCAAGCCTGACGTGTACTCTCTGTGGAAGTTTAACAGGCCATTGTTGCAGCTAAAAGGGCCAACCAAGGATGTCTCTAAACCAGGTGCCTTTGGCTGTTAAGTATGTAGGTGACCTAAAATTCTAATCTCTGAGAAAGGAGAGTGTGCCCTATCTGAGCTACTCTGTCTTCTAGAAAGTTTCAAGCTTTGGTGGCCTAAACACTAGAGGAGAGTGAACACCTGTCCTCTCACATCTCGGGGAAGGGCAGGGAACATTGGACCATTAGTAATGCTATAGTTTTCAAAGTACATTAAATCAGCTAAGTTAACTGTTTAACTATAAGTTCACTATTCCATTTGTTCTGACATTATGCAAAAAAATATTTTTTTCACTGATATAAAATAAAAACCTAGACATAACAAGCTTTCCAACCCATCAAGAGACCAACCAACCACTACCCACACCATATTTCACTCCTCCTCACCCCAGTTGTTTTGCTCTTTCTACTTCAATGGATGACAGAAATGGGATACTAGGTGACCTCTATGGCCAGCCTCTCTGGGGTGTGTAGGAATTAGCATTTCCTACAATTCCTCAGTGATGCTGATGCTGTTGGTCAGGGGACCACACTTTGAAAATTACTACTTTAAATTCAACTAACAATTTACAGGAAATACAGAA